GGTCCAGCGCCTTGTGCGCCGTCACCACCGCGGCCACTGTCCCGTCGTGCTGTCGGCCCCCGCGCTCCAGGCCTGACAGGGCGTCTCGTCCTCCAGGCCAGAGATGCCACCTGGACATCGACGAGTGTGCCTCCGGGCCCTGCCGCAAGGGCGCCACCTGCGTCAACGACGTCAACGGCTTCCGCTGCCTGTGCCCCGAGGGGCCCCTGCACCCCAGCTGCTACCTGCAGGCGAACGAGTGCCTGAGCAACCCCTGCATCCACGGGAACTGCACCGGCGGCCTCGGCGGGTGCGTCCAGCCCCCCCCGCCCGTGGCCCTGAGACTGCCCCAGCCCACCCTCCCCTCCCCTCCCCTCCCCTCCCCTTGAGCCGAGGGGTGCGGGGCTTCTGTGAGTCCCTGGAGGTCTCCCTGCTCCCTCTGCCGCTGCCCTCCTGGAGCGGGAGGAGCCGGCCGCTTTGTGGGCCTGGCGCCTGCCCGGACTCCGGCCGACTGCAGGGTTGGGTTCCCAGCACCTTTGCTTTTTCTGCTTAACAGCAGCTCACGTCTGGCCTCTGGGCGCCCGCGTGGCCCCAGCGAGCGTCACACACGGCCCCTGAGCCTGCGGGGTGTGAGGTCAGGGCCCGTGAGAGCCCCCCCCGCCCCCCCGTGGCGGCTGGCACCCTGGGCGTACTCAGGGGCACTGAGGGCCAGCGGGCGGCACGTTGGTGGCGGGGTGCGTCCCGGCATCGCGAGTGGGGCAGGCAGCTTCCTCGGGGGGCGGAGGCAGTGAGCGGTCGCCCGCGGGCTCGTTCCAGGGCCAGCAGTGCGCGTGTGAGCAGACCCTCAGGCCGCCCCACGCCCTCGGAGTCCCCCCGTGCCTCCTGGGGCAGTCTCAGGTCAGACCTGAGCACTTCTCAGAAGCCAGGCACCCGGGAGCCTGGTCAGCCCCGGTGCTGACCCCTTCCTGGCCCCTGCTCTGCTCCAGAAACCAGTGATGTCCTCGCACCTGCCAGACAAGGGCTGCAGGCTTAGCCCGGGCGTGGGCGCCCCCACGAAGCCTCGCAGTAGACCCCTCCCCCGCCTCTCCGTGGCCCGGCGGCCTGGCCGCTGCCCTTCCCCTGGGCCCCCGCGGTCCACCAGGGCGGGCTGGGCCGCAGCAGAGCAGGAGTTGCGAGGTGACCCGCGAGCTTCTCTCTCGCTGCTCCCCAAGTTGGCGCCCGAGACTCAAGTCGCGCCCCGCCTCACCGTAAGGATCGTGTGTCCTCAGGTACAAGTGTGTCTGCGACGCCGGCTGGGTGGGCACCAACTGCGAGGTGGACAGAAACGAGTGCCTGTCCCACCCGTGCCTCAACGGCGGCACGTGCGACAACCTGGTGAACGGGTACAGATGCACCTGCAGGAAGGGCTTCAAAGGTGCGTGCCGCCGGCCTCTCCCGTCCTGCGCGCAGCACGCACGGGCCGCGGCTCGCTGTGCCAGACACTCGCCCGGGCGCCTGCCAAGTCGGGGGGCTGGGCGGGGCGCGGGGGCAGGCGCCTCGCCGTGGGCCCCTTGGTGCGGGGCTGACTCTAGGGGACATCACGACCCCCAGTTACGACAGAGGGGCGCGGTGGAGGTGTCTGCAGGGTCGGCCCCTCCCGCGCGTCTCCCGGCTGCTGAGGTGCTCTTCGAGGTCATTCCCAGACCGCTGACCTTCCCCAGGTGGCCCCTGGCAGGTTGCTCTGTATAGAGGGTCACCGTGGTTTTCTGGAAAAATGCTCAATGTTGGATGTCGCGAGAAGCCCCTCTGGGCACTGAAGGTTCCTGCTGTCCCTTCCCTGTGGCGCTCACGGGACAGTGGTGGGCGACCGTCCGTCTTTCCTCCTCTGTCCGGCTAGTCTAGACTTCTCTGCACAGAAATGTGCTTTCATTTCTTGCAGAGTGTCCGAGACCCTAATTTTGCCATTGATTCTGATGCTGCATTTGCAGAGAAATTGAGAGGTTTAAGGACCCTAGTGTTTCTTTGTCTCACTGAAACTTGCATCAATGGACGGAGTAAAAATTGAAAGTAAAACTCAAGAGCCTTGTGGCCGCTGAGTATCCGAGAGCAGCTGACCCCGGCTGACGCGCCTCCCCCTGAGGGTCCCCGCAGCCCTGAGAGGACGGGAGCTGTGCCGTGTTGGGGTCCTGCCCTGCTCCCATCCTGCTGGCTCTCCTGTCTCGCTCACCGTGGGGAGCAGGACCCGGATCAGGGCCCGGCAGCTCCGTGAGCTCAGGGGCTCCGGGCTGACGGCTGCACGGTCAGCAGTGTCCCCTCTCGGTGTTTCAACAGCCCCCTTGAAGCCCCCCCAGGCGTTTTATAGAGGTCTTTACGTAAGTTCCGCTACAACAGCAGGCTTTTGCCCTAATGAACTTCTGGGTCCTCGTTGAAAAACTGTTCAGGTGGGCGGAGCCATGAGAGAATCACGTGTGTGAGTCTGCTCATCTCGCCCTGCTCCCCTCCAGCACCGTCTGGGCTGACGGGCGGGCTTGTTGCTGAAGCGCACGAACAGGTGTTCCGGGAGGCTGAAGAAATTGCTGCAGTTTCTGGGCTGTTTAATCATTACCCCTGAGCAAGACAAATACCAGATGATTTCACTCATGTGCAATACTAAAAGCAAAGCACAGGAAGACAAAAACAAACCCTTGAAATCTGACTGCCCCCCAGGGTGGGGGTGTGCGATCAGACACACTCATCGAGCCATGAGCCTGTACCCCAAGACGTGTAGTATTGCAAATCCCCACCACCCCACTGTATGTCAGCAGAAGCGCTAAGATGAAATAGTAGGTGATCAGCAGTGAAGGTCCCGAGGCGGCTGGGAGAAGGCGTCACCGCCTCGGGCCGTCCCCTCTGCCTGCAGGCCTGAACTGCCAGGTTAACATCGACGAGTGCGCTTCCAACCCGTGCCTGAACCAGGGGACCTGCCTCGACGACGTGAGCGGCTAC